TTCCCTACCACCGCACCTCAGATCTGTCAGCCTCTCCCCGGACATTCTGCCTTCCTGCTGCCCTCTCACCTCTTCGTGTTTTCTCTGTTTAGTCCAGGGACACAGTGAAGGCAGATGCCTGTGCACATTCAGAGCCAGAGCTGCCGTGATCTGTGCTTTCTTTATGCTTTTCTCGGGGCTTTTTTGAGCTCTGGGCCCAGGCTTAGAGTCCTTCTGGGAGAACGTGATTAGTCTTTCTTTTTACTCTCAGGCAGGAGAGTGGCTACCCAATGGGTCTTAGAGTCTTGACAGACCTTGGGTGAGGTAGCTAGGAGAAAACAAAAGAGAACGAGGTTGGTTTCAGCTGGGGTAACCCCAAGAGCTTGGGGCTGTGGTGGGGGGCTGGCTGGAACTTGATACTGGGGTTTCATCCCTGGTCTGGGTGGGGAAGTGGTTAGAAGAGGCTAATCTATGAGTGAGGTGGGTCAGGGGCAGAACTGAGGGTGCCCAGGCTCTTACCTTGCCATCTCTGAAGCCCCAAGTACAACAGTGCAAGAAAGAAGAAGCTGCTGGCAAAAATGACTCCAAAGGCCGTAGTTCTCTGGTCTGTAGGTAAGAGATGTAGGCAGGAATCAGTGGGCAGGAATCAGCTCTGAGCCCGTGCCAACAGGAGGGACAAAGAGTGTGTGTGTGAGTCCCCATAAGGAGCTCCTATCAAATGTTCTGCTCTCACCCAGGAACGAGGCACACAGTAGCAACTACTTGTTCAAGGTTGTTGGGATGCTTGTGTGTTACTCTACACAGAATTCTCTATGTCTTTCTACATCAGGACATTTTTTTTTTATCGCTTTGCAAAAGAGATTTAGGTTAGGTTAGTTGTTGACGGTTAAACTGGAATTTTGTAAATATCTGGGGAGCGATATGAGCTGAGACAGAACCTTAGTTTTTGGGAAGCTTACCGCCTAGTGAGCCACCAAGTAATGCCCAGTGCTCCTTGATGTTTGCACTCTAGGTGCTGATTCTTTCCTGTTTAAAACCTTTCAGCGACTTTCTGTGGCTTCAGGATGAAAGTCCAGCTTGAAAGCCCATTGGGATCTGCCCACTAATAGCAATGGAGGGTTTAAAGCTGTCGAGGCATCAGCCTGCCTATTTTTTACATTTTCTCTTTTATCATTTACTAGGTAGGTGACCCTGTGTCAGTTCACTCATCAATACAATGGGAGTGATGATAATCCATGTGATAATACATCTAAGTGCTTAGTACTTAGTGCTTGATTCATGAAAATCCTCAATAAATATAATTACCTCTCAAGCTTTAGGCCACTTCCCCCTTTTCTCACATACCCTTGGCTCTAGCTGTGCACTCGCCCAAATCCTCCTCAGGCTGCTTTATAGTTGGCCTTCACACATGCCATTCTTTCTGCCTTGGTGTTCCCTTCCTCCTGAGCTAGCTAACTTGGTTTGCATGCCCTCCTCCCGACCCAGGTCATCTTTCTTGACTGCCTAGTTGTCCCTCCAACTGGACTAAGCTCCTCAAGGGCAGCACCAGGAATTCAACCTTTATCTCCACCTCAGCACATTGCCTGGTGCCTGGCACCTGTACAAAGTCTCAGGAAGAAGACGGGACTGAACAAAGCGTGGTGGGAAGCAGAACAACACCACAGATGATCTGGTGGTAGGAGAGCCATGAGCCCAGAATAGAGGTGTGGAGAGGAGGGGACCCCAGTACCTGGTGGGGCAGTCCAGGTGCTGGCCTGAAGGGGCTCATCCAGGGAGACGTGGGTGACCTGGCAGGTGTAAGTAGCACCTGCAGAACCAGGTTCTGCTTTCAGAGAGGAGGAGATGCTGTAGGTGCCTGCTTGGCTTTGCCGGAGGCTGGAGAAGGAAGCATCAGAGATTTTGACTGGGGCTCCACCCAGCTCCTCTCGGATCCATGTCACAGTTATGTCCGGAGGATAATAGCCGGCGATGTTGCAGATGAGGGTGAGTGGCAGAGCTTTACTTGCCAAGCTCAGTTGTACTTTGGGGGAAGCTGGAAGAAAGAATGAATAGATTCCAGGGAGATCAACAGGACAGGAGGAGCCTA